CGGGCCCGGCTTTTTTTTTTTTTTTTAACTTTTTTGTAGAGATGGCATCTCACTATGTTGCCTGGGATGGTCTTGAACTCCTAGACCCAAGGAGTGCTCCTGCCTAAGTCTCCCTGAGTGCTAGAATTACAAGCATGAACCACCACTGCCCTGATGGGATTCAGGCTCTGATCAGGTGGTGTGCCCTCCCACCGGCCACCATGTGAGAATGAGGCTTTCACTAAACCACTGAATCTGCTGGAGCCTTGATCTTGGACTTCCTGGTCTCTAGAACTGACAGGAATACATTTCTGGTCTTTATAAGCCACCCAGTCTCAGGTACTTTGTTTTAGCAGCACAAATGGACTAAGGCATATAAACATCATAGTTAATCCTAGTTAACACAACAAAAATAACACCCTCTTGTCAATTCTGTTGAAGATACCCATTTTATTATAATGTAAGCATTACGTCTTCAGTTTCAAATAATGACACAAAATGTTTATAAGTAAAAGCTTTCTCAGTAACACTGGCTACCTATAGGGGAAGGGGAAGGGAAGTACTGAGAAGAAGTTTGAAGGTTATGAAAACATCCCGTATCTTGATCTGAGTGGCAGTCACACAGATAGATAGTAGGGGGGAAAAAAACATCAAACTGCACACATAAGTTCTGTGCATTTTACTGTATGTAAGATATACCTTTTAAAAAATGAGAAACCTTCTAAAGTTTCCTTATAAAATTTTATTTAAAAATGCATTTAGCAGCCGGGCTTGGTGGCTCAGCCTGTAATCCCGTGCTTTGAGAGGCTGAGGTGAGTGGATTGCCTTAGCCCGCGGGTTCGAGACCCACCTGGGCCACTTGGTGAGACCTCATCTCTACAATAAATCAAAAAACTAGCCGGGCACGGTAGCACGCACCTGTAGTTCCGGCTACTTGGAAGGTTGAGGTGGAAGGATCACCGGAGCCCAACAGGTCGAGGCTGCGGTGGCAGGGAGCGGCCACTGCACTCCAGTCTGGGCGACAGAGTGAGACTCCAACTCAAAAAATAATAATAATAAATAAATAAAATGCATTTAGCCAGGCTATGGTGGCCATGAGCATGTCACTGCACTCCAGCCTGGGTGACAGAGTGAGACTCTGCTGGAAAAAAAAACAAATTAATTGTTAACTGATATTTTAAACTAAAGAATGAATCAAGAAAATAAGACATTACATCAGTGTATGTTTTAAAAGCTGCCAACTGTACCTTCTGCAAACAAACCAGTTTAATTAAAATTCACCTATTGTGTCTTCATTGTCATGATTATCTACACAAAGTTCAACACCATCTGCAAAAGCTTCAGAAGATATCAATATCTAATAAAAATATGTGCAAGACTTCTACCTCAAAAACTATAAAACACTCCTGAGAGAAATAAAAGCTAAATAAATGGAAAAATATTCCATATTCATGATTTAGAAGATTCAATAGTGTTAAGATGTCAATTCTCAGGCCAGGCATGGTGACTCAAGCCTATAATCTCAGCACTTTGGGAGGCCGAGGTGAAAGGATTGCCTGAGCATAGAAGTTTGAGACCAACCTGAGCAACTGGGCGAGACCTCATCTCTATAATAAATCAAAAAATTAGCCAGGCATGGTAGCGCATGCCCATGGTTCCAGCTACTTGGAAGGCTGAGGCGGAAGGATGGCCTGAGCCCAGCAGTTGGAGGCTGAGGTGGCCGTGAACATGCCACTGCACTCCAACCTGAATGACAAAGTGGGACTCCAACTAAAAAAAACCCAAAAGATGTCAATTCTCCCCCAAGATGATGTATAGACTGAATACACTCCAAATCAACAACCCAGCAGGTGTAGTGTGTATCCGCACACACACACATGCATGTACATGTGTACAGAAATTGACAGGCAGTTCTACAAAGTACACAGAAATGCAAACAGCCAAGATAATTGAAGAAAAATTCAGCTGGACAGCAAAATACAATGACTAAAATGAGTGTGTCAGCCAGGCTCGGTGGCTCAGCCTTTAATCCTGCGCTTTGGGAGGCTGAGGTGAGTGAGTTGCCTGAGCCCGCGAGTTCAAGATCCATCTGGGCAACTTGGCGAGACCTCATCTCTACAATAAAACAAAAATTAGCTGGGCATGGTAGTGTGTGCCTGTAGTTCCAGCTACTTGGAAGGCTGAGGCGGAAGGATCGCCAGAGTCCAGCAGGTTGAGGCTGCGGTGGCTGGAAGTGTGCCATTGCACTCCGGTCTGGGCGATGGAGTGAGACTCTAACTCAAAAAAAATAAAAAATAAAAAATAAATAAAATGAGTGTGTCATGGGCTCAAGGACAGAATAATATACCAATATATCAACAGAACACCAACAACAAAACTCCAGAAATAGATTCACACACACAGAATTGCTCATTTATGACAAAGGCTCCAGTGACATTCAGGTTGTTAAACAGTGCTGAAGTCACAAGATAATCTGCACAGAAAAAAATTAACTTTGACTCCTACCTCAGACTACATACAAAATTACCATGTACAACATGTGGAGAAGTCATATAAGCCTATCCTATGAAAAGCAAAACAATAAAAGTTTCTTAAAAAAAAAAAAAAGAGCCAGGCTCGGTGGCTCAGCCTGTAATCCCGCGCCTTTGGGAGGCTGAGGTGAGTGGATTGCCTGAGCCCGTGGGTTCAAGACCCGCCTAGACAAATTGGCAAGACCTCATCTCTACAATAAATCAAAAAAAAATCATCCAGGCATGGTAGCGCATGCTTGTAATTCCGGCTACTCAGAAGGTTGAGGCAGAAGGATCGCTGGAGCCCAGCAGGTTGAGGCTGCGGTGGCCGGGAGCAGCCACTGCACTCCAGTCTGGGCAATAGAGTAAGACTCCAACTCAAAAAAAAAAGAAGGCTATCCACAGGCTCAGCCTGTAATCCCAGCACTTTGGGAGGCCAAGGCAAGTGAATTGCCTGAGCTCACAGGTTCAAGACCCACCAGGGCTAGCACCAGCCATATAGAAAAAAATGACTTACTAGACTTCATTAAATCAAGACCTTTTATTTATCAAAAGACATTTTTAAGGGAGCGAATAAGCAGTTATCTACTGGGAGGAAACACTGCAATACAGATGACAAATCAATGAGACAAAGGCAGATAGTCAATGTTAAAACCTCAGTAGTCCCAGCTACTGAGGAGGATGAGGCAGAAGGATCACCTGAGCCCAGGAGGTCAAGGTTGTAGTGAGACAACTCAATTAAAAAAAAAAAAAAAAGACTGCAGAATGTTTTATAGTAACAGTCCTTTAAAAATATTAGCCTAGGCCGGGCTCGGTGGCTCAGCCTATAATCCCAGCACTTTGGAAGGCCAAGGCAAGTGGATTGCCTGAGCCCGTGGATTCGAGACCCACCAGGGCAGGTTATAAGACTGTACAAGTGTCCTTCACAGAAGACATCCAAACGACCAAAAAGCCTATGAAAAGATTCTTAAGATAATAACTTACCAGAGAAATGCAAATTAAAAGCAGCTCACACCCACCCAAACCCAAGTCACCACCATGAACAGGCAAGACTGACAGGACAGCACTAAGTGCTGGCGAGGACGTGACAACTGAAACACTCTGCTGGTGGGAAAGTGATCTACTCAAGCTCTTCAGAACCGCCCAGCACTGTCTATTAATTAGACACACACCGACCCCATGACCCAGCAATTCCACTCCTTGACATACACCAAAGAAAACAAAATGCAAATATCCAACAAAACACACATGTGAGAATGCTGTAGCAGTTTCCTTCATAATAGTCAAACACTGGCAACAATCCAAACATCCATCAACAGGAAAGTAGATAAACAAATGCAGTGTCCTCATACAGCAGAATACTACACAGAATTAACAAAAGAAACTACTGACACATGGGACTCCACGACTGAGCCTCAAAGATACTGTTATTATGTGAAAAAACCAGCAAGAAGAGTAATCACTGCATGAGTCTGTTTACAGGAAGTTCAAGTACAGGCAAAACGAATGTATGGTAAGTCAAAATACTGTCACTTCTGGGAGGAGAAAGGGAGCAAACTGACTCAGAGGGGGCAAAAGGGAAACACTTAGAGTGATACAATGTTCCTTCCATACACTGATCACACTAATCTAGAAAGTGATAACATGACTCAGTGAAACATACTGAAATTCAATGTACAGTACAGTGCCAAGAGTCATGCACTTTACTAGATATTTATACCTTAACTAAAAATAGATATAATTAAAAACAAAAATAAAAGGAGGCACAAATTGTTCTAAAGAAAATGTTTAAATGAATACAAATAGCTTATACTAAATACTTTATGGGCCAAGCACTGTATTAACTGCTTAATATGCCATATACCTCACATAACCTTCTCAATAACCCTGTGAGGAGCCGGGCTCGGTGGCTCAGCCTGTAGTCCCGCGCCTTTGGGAGGCTGAGGTGAGTGGATTGCCTGAGGCCGCGGGTTCGAGACCCGCTTGGGCAGCAAGACCTCATCTTTACAATAAATCAAAAAATCAGCCGGGCGTGGTAGCGCATGCCTGTAATTCCGGCTACTCGGAAGGCTGAGGTGGAAGGATCGCCGGAGACCAGCAGGTCGAGGCTGCGGTGGCCGGGAGCGGCCCCTGCACTCCAGTCTGGGCGACAGAGTAAGACTCCAACTCAAAAAAAAAAAAAAATGTATCAAATGTAAGGAAACATAGTACACATCATTGTTCAAACATTTGTTTCAATTTAAAGAACAGCTTTTCAAATTGATGAATGTACTCTATCAAAAAAGTTAATACATGGTTACATTTACATAGCTACAATGTTTCCTTGCACTGGTCCCTAAAGTATTACATGCCAGGGAACATGAATCTAAACTATCTAAAACTCAAGAAATGTTACATTAAAATAGTCATAAGCAGGGCACTTTGGGAGGCTGGGGCAAGAAGACTGCTTGAGCCCAAGAGCTTGAGACCAGCCTGCACAACATAGTTAGACCTCATCTCCACAAAAAAAGCCAAAAACTTAGTCAGGTGTGGTGGCATACACCTGTAGTCCCAGTTACTGAGGAGGATGAGGCAGAAGGATCACCTGAGCCCAGGAGGTCAAGGTTGTAGTGAGACAACTCAATTAAAAAAAAAAAAAAAAGACTGCAGAATGTTTTATAGTAACAGTCCTTTAAAAATATTAGCCTAGGCCGGGCTCGGTGGCTCAGCCTATAATCCCAGCACTTTGGAAGGCCAAGGCAAGTGGATTGCCTGAGCCCGTGGATTCGAGACCCACCAGGGCAACTTGGTGAGACCTCGGCTCTACAATAAACAAAAGATTAGTCAGGTGTGGTAGTACATGCCTGTAGTTCCGGCTACTTGGAAGGCTGAGGTGGAAGGATCGCTGGAGCCCAGCAGGTCAAGGCTGCAATGGCTGGGAGCGTGCCACTGCACTCCAGTCTGGGTGACAAAAGTGAGACTCCAACTCAAAAAAAAAAAAAAAAATATATATATATATATATATATATTAGCCTTGGCACCAGGCACGATGGCTTATGCCTATAATCCCAGCACTTTGGGAGGCAGAGGTGAGAGGATTGCCTGAGTCTAGAATCCCAGCACCTTAGCCGGGCATGGTAGCATGCACCTGTAATTCCAGCTACTTGGAAGGCCAAGGTGGAAGGACAGGTCAAGGCTGCAGTGGCTGGGAGTGTGCCACTGCACTCTAGTCTGGGTGAAAGAGTGAGACTCCAACTCAAAAAAAAAAAAAAAAAAAGAATCCTAGCACTTTGGGAGGGGAGGCAAGAGGACTGCCTGAGTCTAGGGATTCAAGACCAGCCTGGCCAAGTTGGCGAGACTTTATCTCTACAGTAAATCAAAAAATTACCCAGGCATGGTAGTGCGTGCTTATAGTTCCAGCTACTTTGAAAGCTAAGGTAGAAGGATCACCTGAGCCCAGCAGGTCGAGGTTGCGGTGGGCCATAAGCATGTCACTGCACTCCAGCCTGGGTGACAGAGTGAGACTCCTACTCAAAATTTAAAATATATTAGTATTGGTAAATTTAGAATTTCTAAATCTAACTCAAAATCTTAAACAGAGTAAATCAGCCCTGTGGTTCATACCTTAATCCCAGCAATTTGGGAGGCCAAGGCCTGCTTGGCCTTGAAGACTGCTTGAGCCCAGGAGTTTGAGACCAGCCTGGGCAACATTGCTAGACCTCATCTCTACAATAAATCAAAAAATTAGCCAGACATGGTGGCATGTGCCTGTAGTTCCAACTACTTGGAAGGCTGAGGTAGAAGGATTGCCTGGGCCCAGCAGGTCAAGGCTGCGGTGGCCAGGAGCATGCCACTGCCCTCCAGCCTGGGTGACAGAATGAGATGCCAACAAACATACAAAAAAAAGTTACAATAACATGAATGCACCATTGACTAAGTGCCCATAGAGGAAGCACTAAAAAACCCTCAACTCTGAATTCTAGACTCGGCCCCAAATGGCCATGTAAATTCTCTAGTGTACATTTCATCTCAAAACTAAGAAACTGCTGGGCGCAGTGGCTCACGCCTATAATTCCAGCACTATGGGAAGCCAAGGTGAGAGGACTGCCTGAGCCGACAGGTTCGAGACCTGCCTGGGCAACTTGGAGATCTCATCTCTACAATAAATCAAGGAAAATTAGCTGGGCGTGGTGGCACATGCCTGTATTTCCAGCTACTTGGAAGGCTGAAGTGGAAGGATTGCCTGAGCCCAGCAGGTCGAGGCTGTGGTGGCCGTGAGAGTGCTACTGCACTACAGACTGGGCAACAGAGTAAGACTCTAACTCAAACAAACAAACAAACAAGAAACTATCACTGATATTCACCTTTGCAAACACAAAGTACGCATCAGATGACAGACACTTTTTACAGTAAGAGATAGTATTTTGACCACAAGCTAAGCTCACCTATCTCCTGGTTCAATTTGAAATAGAAATGCTTGGTTCCAGCATTTGAAATGGAAATAAAACTCCTTTGGTGTAAATGACCAGCACTTTAACCAGCATCCTTAAAATCATTTCTTTATTGTATCAGTTGCTTGAAACACGCTACCAGTGCCCCCGCGGTCTGTCTCCTACCTGGATGCTGCCTGGAATGTTAGCACGGGCACTGCCTGAAAAGGTGACAGCACTCAGCAGACAGCCTGTCTCCTCCCATCTGGGGCATCAAACCTTGAGGGCAGGTGTCAGGCCCTCAGAACCCTAGACCAGAACACTCCACAGTCATGACCCCTTCCCCCTTTGTTCTGTTCCATTTCTGGAACATTCTTTCCAGCTTTCCATTCTCCAGCTGAGGGATCTGCTCCGCCCCCATTCCCGTGACTAGTTCACTCACCTGTCCACATGGTGAATATGTACTAAGTCAGAGTAAAGTCATCGAATGCTGCTCCCAAGAGTGAGACCGAGGCCTCTGTGGGGCTTAGTCTAGGGGAGCACCTCTGCCCCCCAGAGGTTCTACTGAAATCCACTTTAGTTTTCTAAGGTATTAGAGAAGTTTTTAGGTGGAAAAGACTTTCTTTTTTAAGTTTCAATAGTTATTCATTTTATTTTATTTTATTTTATTTTTGAGTTACAGTCTCACTCTGTTACCCAGACTGGAGTGCAGTGGCCACTCCCGGCCACTGCATCCTTGACCTGCTGGGCCCCAGCGATCCCTCCACCTCAGCCTTCCAAGTAGCTGGAAATACAGGCGCGTGCTACCACACCCGGGTAATTTTTTGATTTATTGTAGAGATGAGGTCTCGCCAAGTTGCCCAGGCAGGTCTCGAACCCGCGGCCTCATGCAATCCACTCACCTCAGGCTCCCAAAGAGCTGAGATTACAGGCTGAGCCACCAAGCCCGGCTAGTTATTTATTTTAATGTCCGTCTCTCTCACACCCACACAAAACACAGGGCATCAAACTCATAATTACATAGAAACCAACACATGGGACGATGGTGCGTGAGGCATTCTCAAGATAAGTATCAAGTACAAAAGACATTTTAAAGAAAATATTAAGTAAACAGCCAGGCACAGTGGCTCACGCTTATAATCCCAACACTTTGGGAGGCAGAGATGGGAGGATCACTTGAATCCAGGTGTTCAAGATCAGCCTGGGCAACACAGTGAGACCTCGTCTCTACAAAAAAAATGAAAAAATTAGCCAGGCGTGGTGGCATGCACCTATAGTCTCGCTACTCTTTGGGAGGCTGATGCAGGAGGATTGCCTGAGCCCAAGAGTTGAAGGCTGTGGTGAGTCATGATCATATCACTCTGCACTCCAGCCTGGGCAATAGGCTGACTCAAAAAAAATTTTTTTTATCATTAAATAAACAGCAGGACAGATGGTGAATAATTTGGTCAAAAATTGTGAAGATGGCATTTGAGCAACTAAAACTGAGAAAGCTCGTCTACTTGAGCACATGGAGAACCTGCTGTCCCCACCTGGCCTCGAGAGCCAGTGGAATCCAAAAAAGGGGTGGCCCAGGCCCTTCGAGAGCCAGCCCCAGATGGGCAGGCTTCCTGCTGTCCACACCACTCAGGTGACCACCTGCACGAGGACTGGAACCATCACATGTGCACACAACTCTCTTGTGCTGGCTCTGAAGGGCAAGTGGCTGGGCTATACTGTGCGGCCATCTCCCAGTGTGGTGGAGGCAGGAGGCAGCTGACCCTCCAGTACCTCCTCTTCCTCATCAGGTGGAAAGTCTCACCTTTTCCCCTCACCCTCTCCAGAACAGGACGCAGGCCTGGGCCCATTATGGGTGTTTAATAATTATATGCCACCTGCTCTTACCCCTGGCAGCTGGTAGGCTCCCAGCTGTGATGACCCCTAACTAAGCAGCAACAGAGCAGGGAGGGCTCGGCGAACCCCAGCAGCAGGACAGTGGGGCTATGACTTGAATCCTTTACTGCAGCAGCTCCAGAGCACCTGTCACCCCCGAGCCCTGCCGCTGCCCCTCTCCATGTTCTCCTGCCTTTTAAAACAACTTGGACCTCACCTCCTCCAGGAAACCTTTCCTGCTCTGTGGCCCAGGCTGGAGTGTAGTGGCATGATCACGGCTCACCACAGCCTCAACCTCCTGGGCTCAGGCGATCCTCCTGACTCAGCCTCTGGAGTAGCTAGGACTACAGAGTGCACCACCACAACCAGCTAATATTTTGATTTTTTTGTAGAGATGGAGTCTCGCTATGTTGCCCAGGCTGGTCTCGAACTCCTGGCCTCAAGCAATCCTGCCTTGGCCTCCCAAAGCGCTGGGATTACAGGCGTGAGCCACTGGGCCCAGCCAGCAAAGCCCTCCCAAATGTGTTGGGATCTTTCTCTCCCTGCTCTTCACCCTCGTCCATAGGCCCTGGAAAGGCCTCAGCAGCAGCTGTGGGGGAAGCCGCTCATCTCCATTGCTGAATGCGCCCACATAGCAAGAACAAGGCAGCGGGCTCCAGTTGTTCTGCTTCACCCCTCCAGATGTGGGACACAAGGACTTCTAGGACACAGGGGCCCGCAGGGGAGAGCAAGTGTGATCAGGCTGCTGTCTCTGGTCCACAGGAACACCACCACCTCTCCAGTGTCCACAGAGGAGGGCCGGTGGCAGAAGCCACTGCCCATGGGCTGTCATCTCATTAGAATGCAATGCTCTAAAACACTTCCACTCTGGTAAAACAGAACAAAAAGCTTTTATTATTTAGCCTAAGAACAAATCAGCCAAAACTCAACATTTTCCTAGTCATCTTAAATCCGCTTTCAATCGGGTTTTAATCAGGCAGTTTTTAACCACCAAAACTATAGATCCCTATTTTTATGCCTACTCTAGACGTTTTGCTACTTCAAAATTTTAAAAATGCTAAAACAGCTTCGGTCCTGGCACAAGTCAACAGACACATGCCAGCAAAGAAGCAAAACCCCGATGCCGCTGGGATCTGAAACGTGCCGGCCTCCTCAAGCACGCAAGCCAGGGCGAGTCCCTTGTCAGGCCTGGACACCGCAGTCCAACTCGGAGGGCGGTCCCGACCCTGGCGACGTGGACCCCCAGCTCGGTCACCTGGATGGCCACCGCCCCACGAGGCCTGGGGTAGGCGCACCCGGGAACCCGCGGCCCCCCACCCTCCAGGCCTTGTCTGTGACTCAGCCCCGGGCCCGAGGGGCGCCCGGGACGTCCAGCTCGCGGCGGTGCTCGGGAGGTCGCCGCAGTTGCTTCCGGGCGCTCGTTTCGCCATCAGCCGGCCGAGGCCTTCATGGCGCCGCTCCATAGCCCACCGGAGGACTCCGGGCTACCCGCCGGCGCATCACGACGCCAGCACCCCTAGGGGACGCCTAGAGCCGCAGCCGCCCCCAGCGCGCCGCTCGGACCGTCCGGCAGAGGCGACCGAGCCCGCGGCCTCGAGGC